TGATGTACTATAACTTTATAGTACAATATAAAGTCAGATAATGTAAGTCTTCCAAGTTCTTATTCCAAGTTATTTTGGGTTTTCTGGATCCTGTGCATTTCCATGGTGAATCTTAGGTTCATCTTCTCAATTTCTACCCAAAAGAAAGCCTCTTTGGATATTTATAGAGATCAAATTTAATCTATAGATGAATTTAGAACTGACATCTTATTGAATTTTCCAATTCATGTCCATTGCATTTCTCTCCTTTTCTTTAAATCTTCTTTAATTTCTCTCGGCAATATTTTTAATTTTCTGTACACTTGTTAAATTCACTCTTAACTATTTTATTCTTTTGATGTTTGGGAGTGGAATTGTTTTCTTAATTTCATTTTCAAATTGGTTGTTGCCAGTATATAGAAATACAATTTATTATTGTATATTAATCTTGTGTCTTACTACATTGAAAACTTATTTATTAGCTCTAATAGGGGTTTTTTTGTTTGTTTTGGAGTTTTGTTTTGTTGTTTTGGTTTTTTACAGATTTGTTAGGATTTTCTATATACAGTAAGTAGCATGCCATTTCCAAATAATAAGTTTTTCTTTCCATTTCCAATCTCTGTACTTATAATTTTTTTACTTGACCAATTGCATTGGCAAGAACTTCTAGTACAATGTTAAATAGAAGTTTCCCAATCTTAGGGGGAAAGTATTCAGTCTTTAACCATTAAGCATGATATTCACTGTAGGTTTTTCACAGATGCCTTCTAGGAAGTTCCCCTGCCTTACCTAGTTTGTTGAGATTTTAATCATAAATGGGTGCTAGGTTTGTCAAGTGGTTTTTTTCATATATATTTACTGAGGTGATCATGTAGTTTTATTTTCTAGTCTATTAATATGTTGTTCTACATTAATGATTTTCACATATTAAACCAACCTTGCGTTCCTCAGATAAATCCCACGTAGTCATGATGTATAATTCACTTTATGTATTCCTGTTAATTATTTTGTTGAGGATTCTTATGTCCATTTCATGAGAATAATGATCTGTAGTTTTTTGGGATTTCTTTGTCTGACTTTGTATCAGTGTAATATTGGCCTTATAGAATAAGTTGGGAAATGTTTCCCCCTCTTCTATTTTTTTAGAACAGTTTATGGATTGGTATTAATTCTTCTTTGAATATTTGGTGGATTTCACCTGTGAAGCTCTTTAAGCCTGGGCTTTTTTTTTGTGGATAGATTTTTTAAATTACTAATTCAATTTTTGTATTTGTTATGGGTGTAATCAGGTTTTCTATTTCTTCTGGAGTCAGTTTATTATTTTGTGTCTTTTTAGGCATTTGTTCAAATTGTCTGATTTGGTTACATAAAGTTCATAATATTCTCTTTTAATCTTTTTAAGTTCTGTAGAGTGGTCCTGATTTTGGTAATTTTTATTTCTCTCTCTTTTTTATAGTCTAGCTAAAGGTTCATCAATTTTGTTGCTCTTTTTAAAGAACCAATTTTTTGTTTTATTGATTATTTTTGCTGTTGTTTTTCTGATAAGGAGTAAGTCATTAAGCATGTTGTTGTTCCCTTTTATGTGAATGGTTCTCTTTCATTGTTTTCAAGATACTCTCTTTGTCTTTGGTTTTCAGCAGTTTGACTATGATGTATGTAGGTATAAATGCCTTTGTGCTTTGCAACTTGGAATTTATTGAGCTTCTTGAGTCTGTGGATTAATGTTTTCCATTAAATTTGAAAAGTTTTTGCCCATTATTTCTTCAAATAGATTTTTCTGCCTCTTTCTTTTACTCCTCATCCTGGGAATCTTATTAAATATATGTTGGTATTATTTATTTTGTCCCTCAGGTCTCTGAGGCTCTGTTAATCTTCAGCCTTTTTTCTCTCTTTCACATTTGTCGTTTTCTATTTATCTTCAGATTCATTGATTCTTCTGCCATCTTAAATCTGCTGTTGAGTATATCTAGTGAATTTTTCATTTCAGTTGTATGCTTGACTCTAAAATTTCCATTTGGTTCTTTTTTATCCTTTTCATTTTTCTGTTGAGAGGCCCTATTTTTTGAGGGGACAAAAAAATTATTTTGTCCTTTATATTATATTGTCCTTTAAGTATTTAAATTGTAATTTGCCTTAATTATTTGAACAAATTTGTAAAATCTGCTTTGAAGTCTTTGTCAACTAAGTCCATCTTCTTCTTTTTTTTAATTGGGGAATTTGGGGGATGGGAACAGTGCTGGGAAATTGGGGGAAGGGGAACAGACAAGTTGCTTTCCTTTTGTTCTTCAATCTAGTTGTGGAGGACGTTG